CGGGTTGGTGTGCAGAAGCCTTTAAAAGATCCCCAGGTTGGAAACCACTGCTCTAATGAGGTGATTCTCAAATGGGAATGCCTGTGTCCCTAGTGGTACTTTGGAGTACTGCAAAGGGAGCTTCGCAAGAGCGGTACAAGATCGTGTGTGACCAGACAAGCCGCCGTTGTTTCCTGGTACGGACGAGTCGAAACCAAACTAGTGATCGAAGCTCAACTTGCAGTACGAGAATGCTGCTGGCTCCGACAAAACCAACATGGCGAACCAAACTCTCGGCTTTAAACAGGTACTCCACAAACAAAAGGGGTGACGATGGGTGACACCAGGAGCTGGCCGCTGTTTGCAGGTAGCAGCTTTTTCTCTAACAACAGCTGCCTGCTGCTGGAAACATCACCGTGAGAGCAAACCAACACAAACCGACGAGCTGAATGGCACCAAAAAGCCCCCATACAGCCGAGGGGAACTGCGGAGTCGTGATTGTTCTCGTTGGGTTTTTCACTGACCTCTTTTACACAGAGTCACCAGGACTGTCTGTAGCACACATCTGAGCTGGCTGGGTCCCACTTTGCTTTCATCCGTAGCAGCAGCTTCATGTAGAAGAATAAATATATATATATATATTTGTATAACAGGCTTCAAACTCTCAGCCTCTCTCTCAGCCTGTCTATAATGCATGACAAAAGGTTATCAATGATTCAGTGATATCAATTTATAAAAAAAGCTCTTTAGACAGACAGAACCAGAGAATTTCTCTGTCTGTCTGTCTGTCTGTCTGTCTGTCTGTGGTTTCAAGGGTTGAAGGAAGTAACACACACACCTCATTAGACGCTGTGCTACAACAGCTGTTTCGCCCCTTTTCTGCATGATTTTTCACTTGTAACTCTCTGCTGCTGACACATCCAGACGGGCCGACGGGGGAGAAACACGAGAGAAACTGCACACAACTCATGTCCTCTTCCTTTTCCTCAAAGAAACATTTACTGTGTGTTTGCATCCAGTTTCTGTCCTGGGGGGGAAATAGGACGAAAGAAATAGTGCTCTATTGCAGCAGTTCCCAACCTTTTTCCTTAAGGGAGCTGCTTTCTGTCATGGAGTAAACTGACTATATTTTATTGATATTTCATATTATATTCAATAATAACAATAACAGCAGAGAACAGCTGATAAACTGAACAATGAACTCAAACAGTGAACACAATAACTGGAGGAGGGTGTGAATAAAACAAGGAATTTGGATGAATTTGGAGCAGATTATTTCTTGTAAACATTTATCAGAGCTTAGTTTTTTGTCTGTATTCTGTATTTTTATCATCAACAATCATACAAACTTAATAGGCTTCTTTATTTACAAATTCAGTGTTTTCTTCCTATCACTCTGTTAGTTCTATTATCATTGTGATCAGTCACAATCTTTCTTTCTGTTGTGTAGTAACTCTCTGATCCAACAACTGTAATGCCAGAAATGTATGGAAGGTTTTAAGGGTGGAAACTAAATATAAGAATCATAAAAAATATATAATAAAAATCTCAAATAAATAAATAAATCACAAATTAAATGAGACATAAATGCTACATTTGTGTTTGTATTTCTTGTATTCATTTATATCTATTTGTATATTTATCTTTTACTTGTTTACATATTTAATTATATATTTATGTATATTTTTAGCAGCACGCTCTGAAGACGCTCTGCTTATGAAACGCTCTCTGTGGGATTTGAAGACGCCAAACCACAGCGTTATGAAGCCGTGCCCAGGGGAATATTGGGGTCAGTTGTGCATACTTCCGGAAACAATTATCCTTAAGTTCAAAAATAAGAATAAAAAGGAAATGTAAGTTCCACAAACCACATTGTTTATTCAATATTACTATTTTAAATTTAAGAGTTAACTGCTTCAAACAACCTAATGATTCTCACTAAATTATAAGTAAAACTTCAATGCAAAAACAATGCTGACTTCTTATTAAAAAAGATTTTGAATTTTGAAACCTTTGAAGCATTGAAGTGTTTTTCTTATATAAATCAGACACTGGTGGTGCAGCGCTGTGCTTTACCTCTTTATAGACATTTTCTAACAAAAAGCTTTTGGCTGTCAGGTGGTACTTGATGTGGGACGTCTAGTGGCAACTAAATGTTATATATGAAACCTTTTAATGAAATAAAACATTAAACCTGCAGTAACAGAGCTTTTTGGCCACTTGGGGGCAGCGAACAAGTCCAATATTAACTCTGTTTTAGCTCCTAAGGGAATATCTGGCTCTTTAGCTGCTAAATGCTCCCCTATATGTTCACTGTTGGCTGATGAGCAGGTCGTGTACGGTGGCTTTCTGAAAATGACGATATGAAACAAACAGTAAAACAGATAAACCATGAAGCTAAAACTCACTCTAAAGCTCCGTAAAGCTGAGTGATTTAATGAGTGACCTCTTTCACATTGTCATTTGATACATAGCCGTTATAGCCACTTTAATTATTCATTAGCGATTAGATTTCACAGCATATCATACAGTAATGATTTCAGGTCATAAATAGTAAACTCAGATCTATAATTGATTCTCAACCTCAGGATTAAAGGTTCACATTATACAAGTCTTAAAAACATTTCTCACATGTCCATATAAAAACATCACAAGCAGCTCAAAATAAAGCTCATACAGAACTTATGTCAGTCTGAAATGCTCCGACGCTTCGTTGTCATTTTGTTAGAAATGTTCTGGTAACTCAAACACCAAAGATATTCCATGGGAGGTTACTCAGTTTGATCAACATAATTATTAAACACGATCAGCAACAGAAAGAAGGTCAAACCAGAGCTCTTATCACCCCTTCATTAAATGGTTGCAAGATTAACATTCTAATTAAATAATTTAAATAAACCTTAAAGTTGTGTTGACATAATGTGGAAAAGATTTTTTATTTTTAAGTTTTTTATGAGTGCACTGTAATGTGATTAGTTATTTTAACTCAACATTTTTTATAATAGATTACAGTGAAATTTGAAGTAACACAAACTCAAACTCAAGTTTAAAAATATTCTTGGCGAAGCAGCTTTTATTAGACATTTTATGTGACACTTAGTTTAAGTTACAGAAACATTCTTGATTAATAACTTTTTACTGTGTATTTTGTTTTCACTGTACAAATAAGTATTACAAAATGAAGTCGGTGTCACTTAATATTACTGAAGCTACTTGATCAACAATGTTTTTTAACTTATTTTTTTATGTAATGTAAATTAAGTTATCTGGTTTTACAGTGTAGCCTAATTAATTGTTTTTAAGTGGTAATTAAAAAATACCTTTGATTGTAGAGGAAAAGATGAATGCAAACTGTTAATTTTTGTGAGCCAAAACATTTGTTTTAAAGTGTATATAGTTATTTATGTACAGAGCCACGGTCAGTTCATATTGTTATAAAAGACATTAAACATCAGTTCACAATATTAACAGTATCTGCAAATATATAAATAACCATAGTCGATTTGTGTTTGTGTGTTAATTAAAATGAATTTAGTAAAAACACTATAGGATTTTTCATTAAGACAATGATTAATGTCAGAAAATGGTTTCTTGTTTTTAAGAAGTATTATTTATTTGTATTAATGAAGAAAAAGCAGTTTATTATTTATTTTTGTGTCTGTTTTTCTTCCATTTGTATTTGTTTGTTCATTTAATGAGATGAGCTGTTTGTGTGTATAAGTGTGTTTGACTGTGTGTGGTTGAAACCAGGAACATTAGCCGACGCTAATGCCGGTCCTAATGTGGATCCTAATGAACAAACAAACACTGACCTCGAACACATTCTCTTTATTTCCCTCACATTTTATTTGGGCATTTAATTAATTCAATTCAATTCAATTCAATTTTATTTGTATAGCGCCAATTCATAACAGAGGTTATCTCATGACACTTTTCAAATAGAGCAG